CTTTGGCTGACCCCCTCCCACCACCATCGTCGTCATCTGCCCATAGAGGACTCAATAATGAGGGAATAAGAGGGGTGTGTAAGAACAAATAAACTGGGAGGCACAATAAGAGGGGTGTGTAAGAACAAATGAACTGGGAGGCCTCCCAACGATAATAATGGTGAATATACTCAAGAAAATGACATAATTGATCTATTGTCTATCATATTGCTAACTGTCTCATTGTTGGATAACCCCCTCTCAAGTATGCTGCATTGTTTGCATAAAGGTCAGGTTCCTATGATGTTGGATCTACTCATGTAGGCATTGCTTGCATAAAGGTAACGTTTCTATTGTGCCTCATGTTGCTAACTATGGAGGCAACACTGTTTCCTTGCTGGATTGATTCATCTCAAGCATGTTTATCTTGTACAATAGAGGTAAAGTTGCTGCGATTTTGGATCTACTCATCTGGGTGGAACAGGGGATGTTGTTCACAGCACACACAGAAGCACGGACACACGCACAGTGCCAGCGCATACACACACCAAGTCGTCGAGCGAGAAAGAGAGCTGGTTGGAATCAGGAGGGAAGGAGGGGATCAAAAGAAAGAGATGTTGCTGGTTGGCATTGGGATTTGGCGTTAAAGGAAAAGGAGAAGGAGAAGAAGAAAGGGATGGCGATTCGAGCACACACACACACAGTGGCACGAACGGACACACGCTGCCAGCGCGCACAAAAAACAAGTGATCGAGCGAGAGAGAAACCTGGCGGGAATCAGGCGGAAAGGAGGGGAACAAAAGAAAGAGATGTCGACATATGACACCGGGATTTGGTGGGAAAGGAGAAGGAGCAGGAGAAGGAGAAGGAGAAGGAGAAGAAGATAGCACGAGGAACATAATGTCTCGATCAAGATGGATCAAACCAAAAAGAGGATGGATCCCGCCATCATCCAAGAGGAAAGATAACGTGTCACACAGGTCGAAGATCCCGTATCCATTAAGATCGATCACAAATGGGAAAGAAGAGAGGTCGAGGAGGAGGAGGAGGAGGAGGAGGAGGGGGGGTGGGAAAGTGGGAAAGAGATTATGTTGACCTTGGATTGAGGAAGCAAATACCACAACTGCGGCTGCGGCTTCAAACCTCGATCGGGGAGGGAAGCAGAGGAGGAGGAGGAGGAGAACGTTTGTGATGCCATGCACGTGTGCGTGCAGCTGAGGAAGCACACGAAGATGGATGACACAAACAAGGAGAAGGAAGAACGAGAAGGATGTTTTCACCGATGGAAACAAAGGAGGGAGCACGAGGAGCGTCGATGACAAGGGTGAACAACAACACATGGAAAAGAAGAGGCGAGAAGGGGCAACTAGGATGGAGGAAACAGAGGAACAGAACAACGAAGATGGATGAATGGTGAGGGAGGGTTGATAGAGACGAAGATGGATGGAGGGTGAGCGAGGATCAACAGAGGAGGAGGGAGAATGACCTAGGAGATGGAGAAAGGTGACAGAGGAGTAGGAGGGGATGGCGAGGATGGAGGAAAGAGAAGGGGACGGCGAAGATGGCTTGGGGATTGAGGCAGAAGGAGGAGGGAGGACGAGTGAGGAGGGGCCATCGAGGGGAGTTATGCTTTTGGGAGCGAGAAGGACCGGGGAGGTTCGATGCAGGAGAGGAGGAATGCAGGAAAGAGAAGGGTATCACCAAGACGGATGGATGGAGGACCAAGGAGAGTCGATAAAGGAGCGAGGAGGAAAAGGGAGAAGGGCATTTGGGCCGCCCTTTGTGTGTCCTGTGTTGCACTCTGCAATCGAAAACACGAACTAGGGCCAGGGGGGATGAAAGCATTTTTTTTGTGCATGAAAGGACAAAATAGGAACCGTTTAATTTTTGAGAGAGTGGAATTAACATCATAGATTCAAAAGCATTCAAAGTTTCTTGTTTGAAATAATGGACACGCTTAAAACTGGTGCTGGCAGTACCAAACAATAGAAAGATTTTACAAAAATAGGTCAAATTAGATATGAGACTATGATTACTATTGATTAGATTATTGTAAAACAGATTAGCAGTGGTTAAAGGATTATTGATCAGCAATAGAATTGTCATCAAAACACTTAATTTGGGATGATTAGGCTCCTTCCCGTCTGCCGGTAGGCTCCGTCTTAAATTAAAAAAGAGATATATATCAACTCCACAAATATCGATTAATAGTTGGTTTTCCGCGAAATCTGGTGATGCAGTCATCTATTGCATGAATGGATTTGCATCATCGTTTTCTTCTACAAATTCGTATTTTTTCACCTTTCCAAAATGACAATTTCCATGATGTGATCGTTGACTGCGTGAATGGATTTGAATCACCATGTACATGACTTTCCATGTAATTGTATATTGAGTTCTCTGTGTGATCGGGTCATTTGATTTGCATTGCTCTTTCTTCCCCCTCTTCTTACATTTCGGTCGAATTGCTTTCTTTATGCACTGCTACAATTCCACATTACCTTTTGTGTACTTCACACTTGGGATGTCCCGTCCGCCTCCTTGGCTCTACCCTTCTACTGGGCGGCGACGTAATCGCGGTGGGTCCACTCGTCCTTTTGAAGCCTTTTGGACTTCACGAGATAAAGATTGTTCTGAAGTTCTAAAGTTATGTCCAAATAGTGAACTGTGGCCTTGGGACTTTAGGCTTAGGGCAGCTTTCCACTACTTTCCAAAGCATCTTGCATTTCACCCACACCGTATTGGAGCATCTTTGTCTTATTTTTGTACAATGTGTCCTCTCTGTTGTCAAGGATAGACTCATTCTTGAACCTTTTCTTATCCTTACTTTCCCTTTTTCGCTCTTTGTTTCTCTTCTCTCCATCTCACTTCCTTGTGTTTATCACCTCCCTCTTTACTCTGCCTCTTTCTCATAGCGTACAAGTGGGCCGTTATGGCACACGGGGATGCGGGCATCTCGCCCTCAACTTCATCAACGTGGCGAGCCTTGTACGTGAGAGGCACAATGAAGGGGGAGTTAAAATAAAAATGCAAAAAATGAATAGTTTCAGTGTGCCCCTCATCTTTGTTTTGTTTTTTAACCTTTATCGTTTGTTTCGCAAGTTGCGCTCTTTTAGTTCATAGTTTTGTGACTTTATATACTCCTGATGAGTCGGTGAAACTCCGACGAAACAGTTTGTCACAGCCCCTCGTTTGTTGTCCTCTTCTCCCTCTCTGCCTACGGTTTACCGGGCAGTTCTATTTGACGATATATATGTCCTCCTCTCCCTCTCTACCTACAGTTTACCGAGCAGCTCTATTTGACGGTTAAGGTCGATTATCACTTATAGTGTAATCAATTAGGGGATTCTGCACACTGTTGAGGGTTCAGCCTCCTGATGAGTCGGTGAAACTCCGACGAAACAGTTTGTCACAACCACTCGTTTGTTGTCCTCTTCTTCGTCTCTGCCTACGGTCTACCGAGCAGCTCTGCTTGACGATATATATATATATATATAGTGCATTATCACTTACAGTGAAATTAGTTAGGGGATTCTGCAGATTGTTGAGGGCTTAGCCTCTTGATGAGGTAATGAAACTCCGATGAAGCAATTTGTCATAAGCCCTTGTTCGTTGTCCTCTTCTCCCTCTCTGCCTACGGTTTACCGGGCAACTATGTTTGGCTATGTATATATAGATATATAGATATCTATAAATCAATAATAGGGATTTCATTTCGTAATCCGTGTGCTCGATTATGTAATCAATCGCTTATCTTACTTTGTGTTTTACCCACTGTAAGAGTTTGAACTTCATAAGACCGACCATACAATACATACGTAAAAGGAAGCCTCAACATTGATCAATCCGACAAATTAGAATTGAAAGTAGACGCAAAGTGAGTGACTTGCCACTTTCTTCGTTCTCTCTTTCGTTCTTTCCATCTCATTAACGAAACAAGTAAATGTTGTGTGTAAAGTCTCTAATGGGTCCCAAACAGCTCGACGATCGTTGGCTAGGGCGAGCGGCCGTACTTTTTTGTGGTTTCTTGCTGACCGAACATTGCTTATACAGTTTTCACTGGTTTAGAACAAGCACTTAAAAACCAAGTACGGATAAGCGTGTATGTGAAAGTCGAAGAACGACTTCGATGAAGCTATGGATGTAGGAGCATTAACCCCTTTTCTTTGGGCTTTTGAAGAACGATAAAAAATGTTAGAATTTTAGGAAAGAGTTTCGGGAGCAAGAATGCATGCTAGTTATATACGACCAGGTGGAGTTGCACAAGATTTAGGTTAGAACAGCGGAATCATAATTCGCATGTTGAGAGATTTCGAATCCCTCTTCCGCCAGTCGTCTATCTATGCTTTCTTCAAGCTTATATATGGGAAATTTGGGCCCTAAAGGGCCTTTGTAGTTGACTGGACGCCGACCAAAAAAAAGAAGATAGACCGACGGACAAATCTTTTTGGAAATAGAGGTCTGTATATATATATATGTATATATATGTATACATATGTATATATATGTATACATGTATATATACCTGATGACTCAGTGAAACTCCGACGAAACAGTTTGTCACAGCCCCTCGTTTGTTGTCCTCTTCTTCTTCTTCTTCTTCTTCTTCTTCTTCTTCTTCTTCGTCGTCGTCGTCGTCGTCGTCGTCGTCGTCTTCGTCATCTTCTTCTTCTTCTTCTTCTTCTTCTTCTTCTTCTTCTTCTTCTTCTTCTTCATCCTCGTCGTCGTCTTCTTCTTCGTCCTCGTCGTCGTCTTCTTCTTCCTCCTCGTCATCGTCGTCGTCTTCTTCTTCTTCTTTTTCTTCTTCTTCTTCTTCTTCTTCCTCCGCCCATTTCTTTTTTAATCCTTGCGCAGGGGCCATGCGAATCTTCTGTGTATCGTTCCAATTTTACCTGTTTCCAACTTTCCACTGTTTCCTTTTTTTTTTTTTTTTTCCCCCGCTGCCACTGATTCTGATTTGTAATTATGTGTGTACGATCTCTGGATTCTGTAACTGTCAACTTCGCTCGGCGCTGTACCAGGTCCTTTCTATGCGGCGCTCCGGAATGAAGAGGCCTGAAGACCGCGCTTTAATGTGCCGAGGAATTATTTTGGATGGGCTGCGCTCACCGTGCTCTGCCAATGCCTGTCCTGTCGTGTGTAGCTGACGCTGGAGGGAATGCCATTGCCATTGCCATCATACTGTGAAGTTCTTTTACGTGTTAAACTCCCAAGTTTCTGGCAATTCAAAACTTTAGCAAGCAACAGCAGCTTCGTTGCTTTGCGCGGTTGCATGCTGGTTCTTCCCCTCCCCCTTCACCATTCCCGTTCCTGTCCCCGTCCACGTCCCCATCCCCGTCTCGGTCCTCATACCCGTCCCCGTGCCCGTCCCCGTCCCCGTCCCCGTCCCCGTCCCCGTCCCCGTTCCCGTCCCCGTCCCTGCCCCGTTGCTCCATTCCGCGTTTCCCATTTCCCGTTCCCCGTCGCTGTCCTCGTCCCCTCTTCTCCTTCCCCTTCCCCTTGGACTTCCTTCCACGCCCTTCACTTCTTTTCTCTGTGTCCCAGTTCTGTCTGATCTGGTCTCGCCTTATTTGCATTATCACAAAAGGCTTTTATAACTTTTTAACTTTTATTATTTATTTGTTCCGTAAGCTTTGCATTCCTGTCACGTGATTGTCTCTGTGTTCTGAGAATTTTGAAATTTTGGTATGCGAAGCTGTTTTGGAGATCTTTTAAAGTTTTTTTCTGCGTCGGACCATTCTGAGAATTTTGAAATTTTGGTATGTGAATATGCCGAGCAAGACGAGCCGATCACGGCACGGTCAGTGTCACGTACTTTATGGCTCGTCGTGCCAGCATCATCAGGGCAGCATGTGTGTTTGTATGATTTGGTGACGAGATTACGAAACAAAAAACGAGTCCTCATCGGCAAGAGGGCTCGTCTGTGTCTCCTATTCGAATAGAGAATAGGAGGAAAACAAATAAAGAAAAAAGAAGGGATTTTTTATCATTTTTTTTTTAATACCGATTTTTACTATTTTTTTTGTATTCTTAGTATTTTTACCACTTTTTTTTTTTTTTTTTTTTTTTCGTTCTGTGAGATTGTAACTATTCCATCAGGAGCCCTGTGCACACGTTTGTAGTGCACAATTTCGGAAAAGTGCATTCATCTTTTTTTTTTTTTTTTTTTTAATTACTGTCATTTTGTGAGATAGCCGTGGTCGGTTTTGTACTTCAGGTTTTCCTCGGCCACAGATATAGGGAAAAATAAAATAAAAAAAAAAGAAAAGAGGAGCTGTCGGAGCAGAGAGTATGAAGAGTTACAAAGTGTTGTCCAGGTGCATTTCAGGTTCTCCAATGTCCACCATAAAAAAGGAAATTTTGGAGCTTTGACATTTGCACATACAATTTTTTGCTACTTAAGCTGTGAAATTGTGTGGATAATAATAAGTCAATAAAATAACAATAATGAGAAGAAGAAGTTAATGCAAGGAATGAGCCTCGCGGAGCCCTTATCGGACATACAAGTGTTCTGGGCTGTGGCTCCCAGCAAGCCTCGTGGCCGCCCTAAGTGAATGCGGGCCTGAACATCCACGTGAGGCCTGTTCTTGACAGTTTTTCCATATATGGGTACTCAGACAGTTGCAGCACGCCGGTTGGTTACAGAGCAATGTGAGCCTCCAGGCTCCTACCAGAAGCAAAGGGGCTGCACTGTACAGTTGAGCCCAGGGCTCAGGCGGTTGCGCCCTGGGCACACGCTGTGTGAGGCCGCCACATTACGGACTGGTTACGGGCCTATGAGGAAGCAGCATTGTCGTCACACAAGTGCCGCAAGCCAATGAGAATGCTGCACTCACTTGGATGGTGGGTGGCTGGCTGCCTGGACGTGCCTAACTGCACGAGGCCCAGGCCAGTATCTGAAACTGGGCCTGGGCGCATACACCTGGGGCCCAACTGAAGCTACTGGGCCCCCACACGCCTGGCCAGGACAGCCAGCAGCGGCAAGTGTGAGCCCCTGGGAGGGGCAGTCTGGCCTCGGCAGGCAATGCGGACACGCTGCTGTGTTGCTGCGCTAGTGTCTGCATGAGCGCTGCGGGTCTGGCGCGCGCACGGGCGCTGAGGTGAGAGGGGCGCTGCAAGGCAGCGGGCGCACAGCAGCCGTAGCCGGGCTGCAGGGGCGCAATGCAGGTGATGGCGATGGTGGTCTTCGGGTAGGAGGCGCATGGGGAGGTGATCAAAGAGAGAACTTACCTGGTGTATGATTGTGATCAGCATTGGTGTTGACGTCACGTACATTGGTCTTCGACTTCGGTGTGATCCAGTCGATTCAACGTAGATAGGCTAGATAGGCTGAGTAGAGTAGGCCGGGCGCTGAGCGCCAGACCGTAGGAGCGACGTTGGATACAGTGTTGATGTGACCAGGGCGCATCGGCATTGACACTTTAATTCTTTGTATTTGCTCTTATGTGGATGGAATCTTGGTGCTTTGCGCTTTCTGCTTGGTGTGCGACTGTCTGGACTACTTCGTGATTTCGCAACTTGGGTTTCTGTCTATCGCTCTCGCTCACATTCCTTGCACTAATAAACACGTGAACTACATTGTGTTGCAACACTTTTTTTTTTTTTTTTTTTTTTTTTTTTTTTTTTTTTTTTTGTTGTTGTTGTTGTTGTTGTTGTGTGTGTGTGCTGTCTCTTATACACATCTAGATGT